AATAGTAATTTTAATTTAATCACAATAAGACTAAATTCCACAGGCTTTACTTATCAGCTATTCTTGCAAAAACTGCAGAAATATAAAACTTTCCAAACTTAATCAATTTTATAAGCCCATCTCAAAAAAGCTTAGATGTTCTTCAAGGAGTGCTTCTATAAACATGGTCTGAAAAGTCCTGAAATGTGTGCTAAACAACCATGAAAATCAACTAAATATCAGAAGTTAAGAAGGGGATATTAATGTAGGATGCCAAGAAAGGGAGAGGTGAGGATTAGACCAACAAAATTAACTGTAACCTAAAAAAAAAACCCAACTTCTCCCAATCTGGTACTATTATTTGAGAAACTAAAATGAGCTTAACTCCTGATTGAATTAGTTAGAACTGATAAGCAACCAAAATTATATTAGAATTGGGATTGTATTTTCTTTCTTACCATAAACTTAGATCCCCTTCATCAATGTAGATTTTGGACAGACAAGTGATGTTGTTTAAGTATCATTCTTTAAATATCAGTTATACACATTTCTTTTCCCTATTTCTCCCACCCCCAATAAACAGACCTTGAATTAAACTAGGCGCTGCAACAATATTCAGTTGTTAGTTAGCACATGATCAATTCTGTAAAAGGGCTGAAAAATACAAAGAAACCTAGCTAAAATGAGGCATCCTCCATTGTTTTATGTAATGTACCCTGACTGCTCCTGAGTAAGAAGGGAGCTCGTCCTCCATGAGATAAGGCTATATCCTCACTTGTTGGTGAGATCAAATTCTACCCTTAGAAAATCTCAAATAAAATTACAACAAAGGTAGTGTTCAAAGTAATTAACTGAAGCATTTCTGAAGGTAGTGTGTGCACATTTCCCACCTCCTTCCCCTCTGGGTGAGCACTAAGTAGATTGCAAATTCGAAGTAAATTAAGTGTAATTATATAAATGACCCAAATACATATTTATCATTGAATAACCAAAATTTTCAAATTCAAAGGTTCATTGTTCTTCTTAGTTTTTTCTTTAGTTTAATCCTTCAATTAGTTGAATTGTAGAAGAAAAAATGTGAACATTTTATAAGATGGCTTTCCAATTTGCAATGATAAAGCTCCCAATATAACTGAGGTGATTTCTAAAAGGGGGCTTTTTTCCTCTTCTTTTTCTTTTTTCTTTCTTTTTTTTTTTTAAAGTAAAGGCAAACATAATTTAAGGGGAAAAAGAAAGAAAAGCATGCAGGCTCTACAGGCAAGGAGTCCACGTCCATGAATCTGTTCTCTGTGAGGTAACTCAATTCTCTTTTGTAGAGAAACATGCAAAAGGCCAAACAATATTCCGAGCCATACTGCACATGGAAATTTAAAAATATGCAACATTCGAAATGCACCCTTCACCTCTGTATACACGAGTCAATGCAAAATTTGCAAAGAAACAGTGTCACAGGAATGAAGTTAGGTGCAAACAATGACAGCTGAACAATGATGCAGTAGTGCTCACCCAGTTTGTACAGTAATTGGCACTCTACAGTATTCCTACTCGTTTTTTGATTCATTTGCACTTTGTGCTGCCTCTCCCTGGGGATCTAATTCAATCTTTACAGAAACATCTGGCCCCTCCGACCTCATTAATTTCATCTTTTTCTTTGGAGGGTTTTTCAAAGTGCCCAGCCTCTCCTTTACTTTGTACTCCAGTGTACTGTGGGGAATCCCATAAATACTCTGAGCTTTGGAAACACTCATTTTTCCACTCATAACCACTGAGATTGCTTCCTCCAGTATCTCACTGTTGTACTGTCTGTAACGCCCTCTTTTCTTCCGAGGCTGCTTGGAGCCAGGGTCTCCTTCTTGATCCGATGTGGGATATGGCTGTCCAGAGGTAGACTGCTCAGCATCTGAGCCCCAAGAATCAGGTCCAGCATCTAACATGCTTTTTCTATTTTGTTTTGGAAGAATAGCCCTTAATTTTTTACTAAGCGCGCTCTCCGTTTGTGAACCCATTACCAAAGAGCTATAGCTGTACTGATCACCAGTGCGAGACTCCCAAGAAAGATCCATTCCTCGAACTTGTGGTATCTTTAAATCTACAGGAGATGAATGGCTCACATCCTTTTTTCCATCTTGTTTTGCTTGAAGTGCCATTTTTGGAAAGGCAGAATTTTCTGCAAGAAAAGGAAGGTCACTGATGTTGCTGAGTGCACCATTTCCCCTGAACTTCATACGGCTGAGGTTGAATTCATAATGTGGTTTTGCCCAAGAGGCTTCCCTGGATAATATTAAGTGTTGTCCATGATTCTGTAATCCAGATGGCCCAAGGCTGGCAGCTGTGGACAATTGGTTTCTGCTCAGTAGTTCTTCACTAATCTGCAGGGATCGAGCCAGTGGAACTTTGAGTGATGTGGAGTGTCCAAAACCTTCCCTGGTTCCATCCTGTAAGCTTCTTGGAGGTACCCCATCACCACTCCGAAGTCCGTCTGGGCGGTACTGGCTGGGTCTCCCAGGTCGCCTAATTGGATGGAAGGAAACTGATGTGAGCAGGACTTGCACAGGTAGGGAGGGATGGGTGAGGGGACCACTCCTTTATTAGAAGGCCTTGCTTGGGTAACATCACTTTGTGTTATTTATTTATTTTTCTCTAAAATTAAAAAAAAAAAATAGTCTCGGCAGTTAGTTTTAAAACTTGTTCACAAAAAGAAAAAGGAGAAAGGAAAAAAAAAACAGGAGCTTTTTGGGCAAAGAAAAATTAAACCTGTTGGCTGGTCTCTGGTTGGGTTCACAAATTTTCGGAGAAAAAGTTTCGCGCAACTGTCTGAAAATAGGACCTTAATTATTAATTACAGTGTAATCATCAGTCTCCAAAGATCTACACAGAATTGTGTTACCAATGTGACGTTACCACTAAACAAGTACAGTAATAAAAGAGTAAGCCAAATTACTTTAATGCAATCTATTCAACATTCATGATCACTAACTATAAAACTGGAACCATTTACACTGGTGGAACCCCCAGCTGATTGCTTATTTACTCCACAAACAAGCTAATGTTCATCATCAAAAATTAAACAATTCCAAATAACATTTCTTATTTTGCTTGGGAAAAAAATATAAATGGAAACCAGCCCCAAGGGGGAGGGAGGGAGTCAAAACTAAAAGAAACCAAAAGAGCGACTTCTGCATTTAAACTTACCACACTTCTTCAATGTAAAACACTATATGGTAGCAGATACATGAGTATCAGGATTCTCTACTTATATCTTTTAAGCTTATGTAACTGCAAAGAAAATTATTCCTTACTTTCCCCAAAACTTTTCTCGTAAGTTCTATTCGAAGAAATTACTATCAGGTTTATAAACAATCTTCTAGCAGTTTTCTTTGGTTAAGAAAAAACTCCTCTTCCTGAAATATCAATTGCCTATTTTGAAATTTCAAGTGGATAAGCTTTGAAATCATATTTGAAATGTTAACTATTTATACAAAGTTAATTTACAAGGTTTTGATATTCATAATACAAAAAGGTCATCAATCTTTTAAAATTGGCAACTGGCAAAGCAAGCCTAAAGGGGAATAATATTAAGTGTTATACATTAATGAGATCTAAAAATGAAACTCTGCAATAATGATAAATCAGATATGTTCTCCAAAACTCTACAGGGACCAATATCATTATTATCATAATAAGAATACCACTGAACACTCAACTACAATATGGGCAATACCGCTTGTGCATTTGTCTTCCATAAAACAAAACCAAAGAGAAAACACTTCCCATTCAGAGGGATAAGCAAAGCAACTTCAACCATATAATACATGGATCTGGTAGCAAAGTTTAAGATGAATCTTAAGGGATTCATTTACGCCAACTGCACTTGGGCTTCTACTATACACATCCTTAATTATGTAACTCACATGTTTTTGATGTATAAATGGAACCCAGTAATTTGGGACCTTGCTGACTTATATTTACAGTAATCTAAAAAAATGAATTAAGTTAACATTTTTAGACTGAAGAAAAGAAGGGAGAAAAGTAAATAATAAAAAAGGTGAAATGATAAAAGACGAGAACATTTCAGAAGTCAGTAAACAAATCCTTCAGTTTGAAGATAAATAAAAACTAGTTACAAAAGGTTAGTCCATTTTTGTAAAAATCTAAACAATTTCTCCATGTAAATAGTCTAAAAGTTAAATATGCCTACATATAAACTGATTTATAAACTTATCAAAGGTATTTTGCATATCTAGGTAAAGTTGGTTTTTGGTTACAACAGTTTTCTAATATGATGCCTAAATACTTCATTAATACCTGACTTTTCTAAATGATTACTAGATACACAGAGTAACAATTACATATTATAGTATAATTCTTACACTACAAAATTAAATGATAAGAGAATTCGCTTTAGTCCCGTATGAGTTATAAAACTGAGCATGTAATAATGTCTTGGCAACATAAGATGGTTATCCATCAACATCCACAACCAGCCTTATCTATTAAAAAATCTAAAATGTATACAATCACATTTTTTGAACTGCTACAGAATTAAAATTGCAGTTCAAATCAACAACCAAAACCAAACCCAAGTCAAAACAAAAATGAACACACACACATACACACGAGGACTCAATCCCCATTAGAGATATCAAGTGAAACCTAGAGCTCAATTTTCATTCAACAACTATAGCACACACAACACTGCCTTTAGGTCTAAATTCCAGAATTATTTAGCTTGAGTTTCACACTTCACAACACTAAACAACAAAAAGCCCAAAGACATATATTCTTACTACATTCACGACTACTTACTACTTGTACTAAACTGACAAAATTGATCTATACTAGACAATTCTACATTGCACCGATATACTCTTATTTGATTGACAGCCTAAAGGTTATTTTATAAAAGGTCCACCTGTTACTCTGAAGGATTAAATTTTAAAGTACACAGGGGATACTGGCAAATCAATCTCTGGTGAATTATCTAGATAAAATTGTGGAAGGCTACAAATATTTTCCCTTACCCATTCCCTTGAGTACTGGAGCAGCCTGCAGAATGGCTCAGGGAAGTGCTGCCAGCACACGGACTTTTCTTAGTAGACAGGTCAAGTACACCGTCTGCAGAGACACAAACACCTGAGGATATTAAAAAGTGAAGCAAATGTAGAATGAAAATACTAAACATGAAATGGCAGCAGGTTTAGTCAATCAGGCAAACACAACAGTCACATATTTGAGTTATTCAATATAAAAATCATATTTGATTTTTCTCCTGAAATAACATAAATTAAGAAAAGTATGTTACATCAAATGTATCTAAGGATTCAATATTTTATTAATAGTGCAAAAGAAAAGGCAAAGCATATTATAGACAATGTTTAGATATGGTGAAATATTAGAAATAGCAGTTCACACAGCATGATGTTCTGCACCAGACTTATACTTCATTTTCTAAATTGACCTTGATTCAAATGTAAGTTTTAATGTCCCATTAAAAAAACTGTCTTAGAAACTATAAAACCAAATTCCTCAAGATCTAAATCTACCTGAAACTTAGATCCAAACTAATTTAAAATTAGATAACAGACAAATTTAAATATAACAAAAATTATTTTAAAACATGAGTTTATATAATTAAATTACATGTACACACTAAACAAGATAAATGTATGTTTAGATTCAATCCTTTGAGAATATACAGAAATTAAAAATTCAATTGCTGAAATTTATAAAGAGAAAGGATTTTAATAAGATACTAAAAACTGGTGGTTTCTAGTTTAAGAAAGAATGAAACAATCTTGATACTAATTAGAGCCTAAGTGTAACCAAGAAGCTAGACCAGATCACATAATTCACACTGCTAATAAATAAAATCAGGACACTTTCTTTTCCCACAAAGATACGTTCCTTCTTACAGACTTATCTAGATACAGATCTCATAGACGGGACAACTTTTTAAGCAGCCATTCTGTCCAAATAAATAGAGCAAGATAATACCCAATGCCTCTGATTTTTAGATGGCCAGTAGAAAGATCCTGCTAACTCATTATGTTAGAATTCACTCCACAATAGAACTTATCCAACTGGTGTCTAAGGACATTCTAATTCCCTATTACGGTTGTCAGAAATAAATATGCAATTAAATGTATAAATAAGAAAGTCAATATCAAGAGAAAACATTGTCCTTTAGAGACATTACCACTTCAAAAAATATAACTATAATCTAACAGAATCAAGTACTTTATTAGATATTTCATTTAATTAGATATCTAAAAAACAAATGCACTGCTATTTCCAACCAAAGACAGAATAATTTAGATTTCTAAATCAAACATGCAATTTATCTAACCCAATGAGAAAACATATTTAAAGTCTGCCACAAAATTATGTAATTAAAATTGAAAACACTAAAATTTAATGCAATAAAAATTTTTTAAAAAACAGTTTGCTTCACTTGAAGTCCATACACTATAATGTTATCGTGTAGTTCAAATTCTCTTAAGAGTGTGTTACCAATACAACATACCTTTTAAGGGCAACACTACCTATGAGATGTTATGTTAAATCAGACTAGTAGAATCATTTTATGTTAACCTTCATTACTAGTATTTTAAATTTACCTCTATGCTGTTATTTTCCTATTATAAACCTGAAGCTTTGATGCAATATTTAGAGCAAAGTGATTCTTATTAAAAACTACCAATTCGTGGTAAAGAAAATGATCCTTAACAAAACAGAAAAGACACAACTTTGGTAACCAAAGCCACACCGATTGATGTGAACACAGAGTAATTTGGAATCCTGTCTGTCAATCTCTTGGAATTTAGATACTTTACTTTGTTATTTACTATATCCCAAGAGTAAAAAAAAAAGAAAAAGAAAAACTACTCAAAAAAATATATTCTTCAATAAGCAACTGAAGCCAGACCATCAAATGTAAAACCTTTATAAATTCTTATAATAAGCAAAGGAAAGTCCTTTCAAAGATGTTCTTTTAAGATTTAAATTTATTTTCTTTCAAAATAAACTTATTTCTCACCAATGTATTCACGGACCTTATAACCTTTCTGTATACTCTTAGAGGAGACTTCTAAAACAATAAAATCATTACTGTAGACATCACTAAGTTACAATTATTTATAATGGAAATGGCCAATTCATCTTTTGAGAAATTAAAAGGTCAAATGAGATTATAAAGCAAGAGGAATATTTATTCTACTTACTTTCTGAGACTCAAACATTTTCTAAACAAAACAAATATACTCTTAACCTCTTTACTAATTTGGGTCCTCACTTACAAATTCCCCTTCAGAAATACTTTAAAGTTAGTTCACAATACATTGTATATAAATATGTATATATTTCTGTATTTATAAAACACTGAATACACTTAACTAAAGTGTGTTCTATTGTCTTCTTTTATTTCTAACCCTGGTAATTTCTTTTTTAAAATTGCAAATAAAAACATTTTTTCCTTATGATCTCATTTGCAGAACAGAACAAGTAAAGGTGTATTTTTCAGGTACTAATTCTAAAACATTAAGGAAAAAATAGAAACTTAACTTTTCATAGGAGTTTTTAGAAAATGGACAGGACAACACTTTGGAAAGTGCAAAATGCTTGTTTTAGTATCAAATAACTTAAAAATCAGTTACAACTATAAACCACTTGACACACCTGGGTGGTACATCAATCACAACTATGAATTACTGACAGGTAAGGTTTTAAGAATTTTATCTGTACATATCTATCACTGTATAGTAAGGAATAATTTAAGATTCACATTATTGTTTTGTTTTTTAAAGAGACAAATTCTTGCTATGGTTCCCAATGTGGCCTTGAATCCCTAGGCTCAAATGATCCTCTTGCTCCAGCCTCCCAATAGTTGGACTATGGTATGGGCTACCACCCACCTAGAATCACACTATATTTTATTCTATTATTAACTACTGGTCCCCTCATTGCCAATAATTTTTTTCTCCCCCGAATCAGTTTTCTGATTGGACAGAGGAGACCATGATTATCAAACCATACCTTGTTCACTAGGTTCTGACTGAGACTTTCTGACAGTAAGGTCCAGAGGTGAGTCTTGGTCAGCCATGAGAAGTTTGCTGAGCACAGGGTTCTGAGTAGTTGCAGCCGTGGGAGAGGTGGTGACTGGAGATGCTTTCGGCAGGCTTTGGTTCTTTGTGCTATTGGGCTGGCTGGGGTCCTGAGTAGAGCTATTTTTTGAGGTATATTCAGCAGCAAATTGTTGGATCATTCGCTGCATGATCTCACGGGCCACTAGGGGAATATTGGGGTCGAAGACCCAGGGACTGTCTGTAAACAAAGATTTATTCACTTTTAAAGTGGAAAATTGTACTTTAAAAAAAAAAAAAAAACCCAACCAACAAAAAAGACAGTTTTCACAAAAACATATTCATATTTTTCTTAAAATGCAAAGTCTTAAAAATAGTACTCCCTTTGATTTATATTTTTAATCTCTAAGCTTTTGAGTTGCAGGTTTTTAAAAAAATAAAATTTTCATAAAAATATTTCTAAACATTCCCCCCCAAGGATTATGAAATTAAAGGGTTACAAATACTATCTTTTATAGGCTAAAATCACTTACCTGATATAGAAATCCCCAAACCTTTCTCTTAAGAGTTATTCCCCAGTTAACATCTACAGAGAATACATTGTTTCCCCTAGAGTTTTTTGTCATCAACTGTCCTCTCCTAAATTTCCAAAATTTGGACTACTGAATTCACGAGTGCTTAATTCATTTCTTGTTAAAGACTGATGGCATAACAAGATCATAAAATCAGATACTTAATTTTAAGTATTCAGTCATGATAGGCTAGAGCAATAGTCTTCCCATTTTAATGTTCATTGAAATCATTTTGAAATCTTTTGACTGCTGGATCCTATCCCCAGAGTTTCTGATTCAGCAGTTCTAGGGCTCAAGAACTGGCGTTTCTAACAAGCTGCTTGTGTGAGGACAACAATTTTAGAAACTGTGGGTTGGAAGTTTAAATGTCAATTCTCAAAAGTTGGAAGACAGACCACATATTTTCCATGAATAATCTTTTATATTTTCCATTAAGAATCTTTAAGTATACTCTTCCAGATATTAACAGAACAGTTACAAAAGTAATGAAAAACACTTAAGTTATCCATGTCTAGTCAATTTTAAAATAAAAACCATATGAACTCATTAATTTTTGAACCAGAAGGGACCTTCAAGTTCAAATTTGGGTAAGATGAAAGGTGAAATCTATATATTCGTGTGTATGTGTGTGTGCACACGCACACACACGTGTATATATATACATAAAAATAAAAGATTCTCACATCTCTATAATTACAACACTAGCCTATCAAGGAAAAGAAGCTTCTTGGGGGCAGAGATTAAATGTATGTATATATACCTAAATCTTGCCTGGTGTAAAGTGTGCATTCAATTTAGCTGAGTAATGAATGGAAGGAATCAATTTATACCAATTTTCTTTTAATAAATGTGGAAAAAGTGATAAAAAAGTAGCCTCTACAAATTAGTACAGATGATTTCTGATAAAACTCAATCAAAACTCTTTCCCAGATCTTAAATGTCTACCTGTACCTTTGACTCCCCACCACACTTCTAATGCATTTATAAGATGGTTTTCAGAAAATCTGTTTCCTTGGTCTTTTAAAGATTAGCTATATAAGGCAAATACCCACAGTATCTTAGAGCTGTGAGGAATTTGTGAGATTGATTTATAAAGTACAAAGGCACAAGGAAAACTGACTTTATTACTAAAATCTCCACAAAAAACAAACAAAACGCTCAAACTTCATAGAACTCATAATAATAACAACACATATTTTCCCAAAAGGAGAACATTCAATACCTGAATATGCTCATGCAGTCACAATATTTATTTAATTTTCTGAAGTTTAATGAGGCTTGCTCTGTCAATATCATTTTTGTCTCACTAAGGAGTATTTATAATCCTTAATTTCTTCTCTATAAATATAGACTATTAGTATTCCAGATAGTTTATGAAAAAAGATATTTAATTAGGTGAGGTTCAGAAGTTCCTATATTCACTGACAATGCTTCTTCAAAAGTTTTACTAAACATTTTAGTCATATATTGCTTTTCAAATATCTTTACTGGATTTTCTCATTAGTTATTTAACTTTCCAGTTAAGATCCATTTCCCCCTATATAGCATAAATCTCTGTATGAAAGACTATAAAATTTTAATATATTAGTGGTACCTTTCTCCCCATAGAAAACTGGAGAATATGTAATTAAATTTTCCAAATAGGAAGCAAATGAAATATTTAAGAATTATCTCTGTGTTTAACTAGTATTAGTAAATAAATATCCTTAAACAGCTTTGTGATTTGTCAAAGATTTTAGGATAAAGATCATAAACTGCTCCTTACGCTTAAAATGCCTACAGTATACTTTTGTCTTTTTAATGAATGGATGACTAATACAATCATGAGACAAAATATTCTCAATGTTTATGAATGAAACTCTGCCATTTAAATTTCAGTATCTTTTTTTGAAAGTTTCATGAAAGCATTCATTTTCTGACTTATAACACAAGTTCTATATACATTTTCATGCCTAGGGAAATAGACACAATTGAGTCAAATAAAAGCAACAACTCAGATGAAAATAAAACTACACAAAAACATGTAAAAATTAAATCACAGCCACTGGTACATTTAAAATGGAAATCTAACTTCTAGAAAGGTATCACATTTTTTTTTTTTAAAACATAAGTGACAAAGCAAATTAAAAAGGAAATGTGATTAATAGAATTTTATAAGGATAATATTGTTCTAAAGTTAAAACTGGTTACAATAGAGTCCATTATCATAAAAGTCTACTTTCATTGCATCTGTATTTCTATTTAGCTATACAAAACCTTTGCACGCCTGGTTGTTTAAAATATATAATTTGTATTGCTTGGATACAAAGGGCTAAATCCAAGCATCTGAAATAAAGGCTGAGCATTCTTCATCTGGTAAAGTGTACGTAAATATTCGAAAATCTGAATTGAAATCAAACCCACTTCTGGTCCAAAGCATTTGGGATAAAAAATATTAAACTGATGTTTATGAAAACAAGGGATACTCAACCTATATTAATTTGAAGAGTACAAATGTTCATCTTTAAGATATATCAAAGAGGGTTTTAAAAATATCTAAAAATAATAACACTGGTATATAACATAAGGGGAAGTAACTGGAATTCTTCCAATTCCAAATCATTCTTTTCTGAGTATTTTGTGCCAGTATAAAAACAAACATAAAAACTTAAGTTACATATATACAGTTTCAGAGGATTCTCATAGCTCTTGAAATGTATCTTAAGATCTAAGGTCAGAATCCCTCTAAACAAAACTGATAAAAATTTTAATTTAAGTCATTCCTCTATGACAAAGGGATGAGACTACTAGAAGTAGGACAGAATAACTTCTTATTGTCCCTAAACAAAGAGTGGATGAAAATGGGTTCCTCCATACAAATTAAGTACAAAAGCTTCTCTATCCAGATAATAAAGTTTGCTATCAGACCTTTGCCCTGCATACATTCTAAAGAAGAGGAAATGTAAAGATATTTTATTTGGCTAATACACTCATAGAACTGGTTATTGTTTAAACCTTAAATATGAATTACTTTAATAAAAAAATCAAAAACATCCATAAAACTAAGAAAATGACTATTTTTAATATAATGTTGGAATTCAGGGCACTTTATGCAATGATGAGGTGAGCCTGGGAGGTTGAGAGATTTTTAGGTCAGAGGCTACCAGCAGGTATTAAAAGAGAATGGAGGGTATACCAAAATTTTTGAATTTACAATGGATCTTACTGAAAAAAATGGGGGAAAATGTGCCCGCCCAATAATCTCTACATTCCTTAACTTTATTATGATATTTAATCTTATACTATTATTTAAACATATTGATCACATTAAGAAAAAAGAAGCCCAGCTGATATTCAACTATACCCAACCCATTAGAACAAATACTCACCAGAGAGTATACAGTCAAAACTGTACACCCTTTAGAAGGGAAGAAGAAAATTTCCAGAGGAATGAAAGGTGTAAACCACAATACGTAAAGACATTAAAGAAAAGGGAATCACTAAGTGTCCAAGATTACATAGGACATTCAAGATTACCAGGAATTTGTAGGAAACCCGTTTTAGAACCTATCATAGTAACCTCCAACTTGGAACTAGAGTAAAAGGGTAATTAAAATAAGCATACAAAATCATTCAGAAAGAATTTCTTGAAAGACTCTTGACTACAATGGTTGGTGAAGGAAAGTTTCATGAAGGTCTTGACTAATGGCAATTATGCTTTGCAGACAGAGAAAAACAAAAAACCTCGAAGGTCTTCATGAAGAATTTATAAACCCCAAGCCGCTATTACGATTAGACAATACATTCTCTGAATTTTAAAAGAAATGTAAAACAAGCCTATCAAGTTTCAAGAAGAATCCAGCATGGCGGTTCATGACTGTAATCTCTGACTGGGGAGGCTGAGATAGGAAAATTGCAAATTCAAGGTCAGCCCCTGCAATTTAAAGAGACCCTGTTTCAAAATAAAAAATTAAAAGGGCTGGGGATGTGGTTCAACGGTAAAGCGCCCTTGGCTTCAACCTCACACCCTACTACCAAAAAAATCCAAAAAACAAAAAACAAGAAACCAAGTTTCAATGAGAAAAACAAACTGAAAAATCCAAGAGACAGAGCTATTAAATGACACCTCAAATGTAGGAAAAAATTTTATTATGAGTTTTATCACCCTAATTTTAATAATCTAAAAAACTTTAGTGAAATAAGACTATACCAAGGGGAAAATGTTTACAAATCTAATTGGTAAAAAAAAAGAAAAAAACATCTAATTGGTAAAGATATAGCTACATTTTCTTTCCCAATAAAATTTCAGGTTGGAATTACTAAAATATTATATAGTAGGTTTTATAGTTACTGATAATTAAAACAGTAACTGCTTATATTTTAAAAATTGCTCAACAAAAACCTAACTACTGAGACCTTAAAATTTTCAGAGTTTCATAATAATGGATTTAAGTATTTGACTAAAATCATCACTTCAGAGATAAGGGGGTGGCAGGATAGGGATTGCGTTAACTCTGTTCCAAATTTACCTTGATCAAAGGAATACAGAAAAAAAGTGCATCATTAGCAAAGAAAAAATTACTTTTAAGAGTAACTTTAAAAATAACATTGAAACTAAGAAGACTAATGTAAGACAAGCAGATGCTAAATGTCATTCTTCACTGAAACCAACCTTTTCTATAAAAGACTGCATTGAGGAACTCTTCTGCTTGTCTCTCGAATCGAATGATTTTTGCTTGCTCTTGTTTAAGCAGAGCTTCCTGCCCAGCTCCCGAAGCTGGTTCATCCAGACGGACTAAGTGTCCCTGCAAAAATATTTGGTGAAATATTTGTACAAAAAATTTTCCCCATTCAAAATAAAAAACAGATGTATAATTATAAACAAATACTAACAGCATATTAAACAAATTTGTTAATATTATTAAAGTATTTTAGAACTTCAATTCAGGATAAAAATTATCTCCACAAAACTATAATAATAGTAAAATGAGTATAAACATACCGCTTGGGTGAATTTTATTCACATTTTTCAATTATGAGTTTTCCCCCACAATTTACCATAAACTAATTAAACAATAATTACTAAAGGGAAAATTTCTTTGAGCATTAAAATATATTGGTTCTCTTAAAGCAAGTGTTCACAGATAAATCCATTCAGATGGTATGCTTTTATACATTTTAAAAAAATCTTTAAATTTCAGATCTCATTTAAGGATCATGTTTGTCCTCCTACTATGGGATATTTTCTCCAGACACAAAACGTTTTTAAAGGGAGTGAAATTGACCAAATTACCTTTTGAAATATATATGAAAATGGCACAATGAAACACGTTTTTCTATATAATCAATATATACCAATTTTTTTTAAGCATTCAGGAAGGAAAATTCAAGAAGAGTTTATCAAATTTTATAATTCTGTTCCTAGATTACTTAACAAACTATGGCTCTCAAACTTTTACTGAGTAGGAAAAGAGTGTACTTCATATTCTAAATATAAACACTGCAGCAACTTTAGTTACAATATATATGTGTGTCTAAACATGCTTACAATATAAAATATGGATCAAAACGTTTGTCTAAATGAAAAGTTCCAAAATGCTGTACTGAATTCAACTTCGAGATGTATAGCATCTGCTTCCAGACTTCAAGAACAATGGAGTAAACTGACAATGTTTTGCACATATTTAAGTCTCAGTGCATATAACTTACTTTATTTCACTGTAATATATCAATACATGCATTTACTTTAATCATGGAATCATCAAAAGTGCTCCAAATAAGAAAACAGAACATACACTGGTATAATGTAATTAAACAAGAATTAAAGGCATATTATAATCCACAAAATATTTCCTCAAGGCTTTTAAATATATCTACTGTTATCTGTAAAAACTTGCTATGATTTCTCCATTACCTGAATTGTGCCACACAGCACAACCAAGATACAGACACACATACATCTTACTGACACATTTAGAACTGATTATATATTGCATACAAATAGTTTAACAAAAAGAACTCACTTGCCTTATTCAAATTACAACAATGATTTAACATTTCTAAATAAACAGTAAATTTGTTATATAATTTGTTTAAAGAATTTTCAATTAAGTATTCTAAGTGTTATAAACCATGAAAACTTTTTAACTATTAATGTTATTTGTCAACATTCTTTTCTAAATATATAAGTAATTTTGAAACACAAATCATAAATAATTATGATATAGATTAAACATCTAAAACATATTAAGAACAGGCATCAGTTGAAATGCCATCAAACTCTTCAACTGTATTATACTTTAGTGTCATTTCATTAAGTGATTTTTTAAAATATAAATTATACCTGTATGTTCTACATTCAATCAGTTGAAGTTAGATACTGAATGATGTATCTGTATAGTACTTAAAGTTTATTTAATGTAGTATTCAGACTCCTATCATATGTAATGGAACACAACAGAGCAACTAGCCTAGTACTCATCAGGCAGATGCTATGTGTCCTTTCTTAAACAATAATCAATCCCCATTCCCACACCAACACTAGGAAACCAATATACTAACTACACTATGTTTTGTCTTTATAGATGTGCCTGTTCTGGACATCATTTCATCTAAATAAACATACACACATACACTCTTTTTTTAATGTGTGTGGTTTTTTTTCCCCCTGTGGTGCTGGGGAGTGAACCCAGGGCCTTGTACTGAGTTATATCCCCAGCCCAGTGATCGCCTTTTTTACTCCTAGAATACTGTTTTGTTTTTTTTTTTTAAATCTCAGCTCCACCTGAGACTGAAATGAGCTCTTCCTCTGGGTTTTCAGTCTCTCTTTTCTTTCTTTCTTTTTTTTTTTTTTTTTTTTTGAGAGAGAATTTTAATATTTATTTTTTTTTTTTTTTAGTTTTCAGCGGACACAACATCCCCATTTGGATGTGGTGCTGAGGATTGAACCCGGGCTGCACGCATGCCAAGCGAGCGCGCCACCTCCTGAGCCACATCCCCAGCCTCCTAGAATAATGTTTTCAAGGTTTGTCCACACTGTAGCATGTGTAAGTAGTTAATGTCATTTATTGCAAAATGAATACTTCATTGTATGGATACATCACTTTTTATTTATCTTTTCTTCAGTCGATGAGTATTTGAATTGCTTTCACTTTTGGGGTATTATAATAATAATAATACTGCTATTAACTTGTGTACAGGTTTTCATGTGGATGTATATATTCATTTTTCTTGAATATGTATTTAGAAATGGAACATCTGGATAATATTTTAACTATGTTTAACATTTTGAGGAAGCGTCAAACTATTTTCCAAAGCAGGTATATCACTTTATATCCCCAACAGCAGTTTATGAGACGCATACTCATCAATACTTATCATTTTGATTATACTCATCTTTAGTAGATGAGAAGCAGTATCTTGTTCATATTTTCTTTCTTTCCCTTCCTTCCCTGGTACTGGGCACTGAACCCAGGGCCTCATAAATTCAAGGCAAATATCCTTACCACTGAGGTACATCCCCAGCTCTAGATTTATATTTTCTAAAAGACTAGTGATGTTCAATTTCTTTTCAGGTGCTCACAGGCCATTTGAAATGTCTACTCAGATCCTTTGCTCAGTTTTTTTAATTGGACAATTTTTTAAATTGTTGAATTATAAGAATTCTTGACATATTCTGACTTAATTCTATTATTAGATTCACGAACTGCAAATATTTTCTTCTTTTGTGTTTCCTCAGTGATGGTACTGTTAGCAGCACAAGTTTTGAATTTTAATGAATTCTAATTTAAAAGTTATCTTTTGTCCCTTCTGTTTTTGATGTCATAACTAAAAAAATTTGTTTAATTCAAGATCATAAAGATTTATTCCTGTTTCCTTCTGAGTCTTACAGTATTAAAGCTTACTTTTATGTCTATGACTTATATTAAGTTAATTTTTGTGTATGGTAAATGTGTACGAAAGGAGTTTAACTTCATTCTCTTGCATGTGGAGAATCAGTTGTTCTAGTACCTTTTGTTAAATAAATAATTCTTTCCTCCAAAGGATTGTTTTGGGATACTTATCAAAAATCAATGGTCATAACTTTTACTTAGGGACACTTTAATTCTATTCCCATTAACTATGTAGCAAGTTTTAAAATTAATAAGTATGAATTCTCTCAATTTGTTCTTTTACAGATTATTTTGGCTTCTTGAGGTCTCTAAATTTTCTTGAGAATTTCAGAATCAGTTTGTCCATCTCTTAAAAAAGAAATCACCTGGGATTTTGATGGAGAACGCAATTATCAACTTGGGGAGTGATGTCATCTTAAAAATATTGACTTTTCTGATCAAATGTGGGGTATCACTTTATTTTCAATGTTTTGTAATTCACAGTGTATAAGCATTACACTTTTGATATTTTTATTTCAAAGTGTTTTACTTTTTGATGCTACTATAAATGGAATTTTCTTAATCGTAGTATTTCTCATCACTAAATGAAAACAGATATTCTAAAAATGATGTTATATTCTGAACCTTGCTGAATATATCTATAAACTATCAGTTTTATAAATTCCTAAGACTTTTTATATTCATCATCAAGTCATCTGTGAACAGAGATAGTTTTACCTCCTTCTTTCAATGTGGATGACTTTGGTTTCTTTTTATAGCTTAAATGCCCTGATTAGAAGCTCCCTGACAATGTTGAATAGAAATAGGAATCCATATCTTAGGAGGAAGCTGTTCAGTCTGTTATTAAATATGATGGTGTTTTTGTAGCTCAGGTTGTGGAAATTCCCTTCTATTCCTAGTCTATTAGGTGTGTTTGTATTTATATATATATTTAGTTGTAGATGGACAGAATGCCTTTATTTTATTTGTTTATTTTTATGTGGTACTGAGGATAGAACCTAGTGCCTCATGGATGATAGGCAAGTGGTCTGTCACTGAGCAATAGCCCCAGCCCAAGTGTTTTGTGGGTTTTTGTTGTAGTTGTTGTTGTTTTTGTTTTTTTAAATCAGCAAGTGGTATCTGGTCGGGCCATATTGCTTCTGGAGAGCATCTATGGACATGATCATATGGTTTCTCATCATTTATTATATTAACACACATTACATTAATTGATTTGGGGGCATTAAATCAACCTTGGGATCCTGGGATAAATCCTACCAGGTCATGGTGTATACTTTTTATATACTAGCAGATCTGATGTTGAGGGTTTTTTGTATTGATATTCATAAGTGATAATGATCAATATTTTTTGTGATGTCTTTGTCTGGTTTTGGTATCCATAATACTGGCCTCATGGAACAAAGAAGTCTTCCCTCCTATAATCTGAAAAAGTTAGTGAAGAATTGGTAGTAATTCATTAAATATCTGATAGAAATCACCAGTGAGGATATCTGGCCATGGAGTTTTTCTTTAATATAAGTCTAAAAATTATTAACCCAATCTCATTATGGTTTGAATATGAGATGTACCCCCACAAAACTCGTGTTAAACAATGCAGGGTTGTTCAATTGTGAGAGCTGTAAATTTATCAGTGAATTAACCTAAATAGACTACTGGTGTAAACTGTAAGCAGACAGAGCAAGGCTTAGACCTCTTAAATAAAATTTTCCTTCTCTTTAGTTGTTCTTGTCAGGTATTTTGGTCATAGTGACAAAAAACTTAACACACTTGTTCTAGTCTAGTTTAGTTTTGTAGGGCTGCTATAACATATTACCATAAACTAAGTAGCTTAATACTGTGATTTATTCTCACAGCTCTGGATTCTAGAAGTCTAAAATCAAGGTGCCAGTAGGATCATTCTTTCTGAATGATCT